GCCGCAACCTCCTGCCATCAAGTTTGAGTTCATGGCCACCAATGCTTCACCCAGCCATTGCCACCTCTCTAGCCTCCTCTCGCACCGAAGCTCACCTCCCACAAGGCTACCGGTCGCCTCCGGCGCCCGCACCGTGTTGGCCAGCACCTTGTCCCGAGCCGAGCCACGGTGAGCACCCGTGTCACGGCCTCAAGCGTTCGTGAGGCTGGAAATCGTGACCGCGACACCTCTCGCCTCCCTAGTGCCCCCTCCAGCCACAATGTTCTCAAGATGGCAACACGTGCATGTTGTTCAACAAAAGGACCAAAGTGTTTTTCCCTTTTCGTTTTTCTGCAATAATGCCAAAATTATATTTGAAATGTGTTTTTTGTGTGTACAAGGACGTGAGAATTAGCAGAAGAACAATTTTAGGAGTTAAGCTTAAAGATAAGCTAGTTCACCAAGAATTAGCAAAAGAACTTCTATAGATCCTTTAAGACCTGAGTTGGTGAGTCATTTTGCCATTGTTCGGTTGCTTCTAGATTTCTCACCGATGTGCGTGTCTTGTGCTGTGCTGTGCTGTGCTGTGCTGTGCTGTGTGGCTCATGGTTGTCACTTGTCAGATTGCTATTTGTGTATTCCTATCGCTATCCTATTGGCTGGCGCCCTCACCCTCTTTCTGTGCGCTTTCCGTGCCCGTGACTGGGGCGATTGTGCTTGCGTCCGCCGCGTTTCAGGGTGCAAGCGGCGCGGGCTGCCCGCCAATCCGGCAACGCCGCCCCGCTAAACACATCATAAGTGGGCTCCCGCTGCTGTGCGCAAAAGTCAAGCGGCTTTATGCGGATGTCCGGCAGCGTCTGCAATTTGCCCGCGTACATACACATTTATACGTATGCGCTATTGTTTCCGTATATTTGCACGCGTGATCTTGCCCCAGCACCAGCTCGTGGCTCATGTGGTCCCCTCGCCTGAACTTGGCCACGTAGATGATGATGATTTGCCCCAGATCCGCTTCGCCACGGTGCCCGGCGACTCTGGCAGCGCCACCGCGGACGTGCTCAGCGCCACCACGACCGACGTGACCAGCACCGACTCGGTGGCGCCCGTGCGGTGCGCCAGCCACAGTGCTAGGACGGAGGGGGTGGCCCCCATGACGGTGACGTGGAGTGCGCACAGGGCGGTGCCGACCGTGGCGTCCGTGACGATGATGACCGTCACGCCGTAGGAGAAGGCGGGGAAGGTGAGGTGGCGGTTGAGGGCCGGCGGCGCGTAGACGGACACGACGCCCATGATGGTGCAGGGCAGGGCGGCGCGGAGCCCGACGAGAGGGACGGCCGCCAGCGACGACGGCGCCACCGCGCTCACGTTGTTGTTGTTGTTGTTGGCTGCGGCCTATGGTTGTCGATTCGATCACGCGTGCAAATAGCCCGCGTACAAATACCAAATATTGCTCACGCATGCATGTGTATCAGCTCGCATCAATCGGCGATTTTTTGTTTTTTGAGGGTGTTGGCAAAATCTTTGATACATGCATATAGTTGGCGGGCTGGCGGCGTCGCGGCGGCCTGCGTATCCCGCATACCACGACCCACGTCTCCCGTGTGGCCGCTCGCGGGTTAAAGCGCGGGATGCGAGCTGCCCGCAACCCGTCCCACTTGCACCCTGAGCCGCGTTGCTTGTCACGGCAAAACCGCTACCTTTGGTCGTTCCGGCGTGGATTGCCGACTGTGCATGGTTCAACCTTTTTTTTGCTTCTATCAACTCTGGGTTGCTTGCTGGGTGCTGACCACCTTTAGCACGTGGTGCCTATGGTTCAAGCTGTGTTCCTTTTTCTCTTTTCCTTCGATGGTTTCGTTTCTTCTGTTTTTTCACATTTGACTGGGGTCCTGCGACTTCTGGCTACATTTTTGGGTTCACCCATTTACAAGAAGAACAATAGGTGATCCCCGTGGCGTCAACACGCAAGACGGCGGCGTTTTCTTCCCATTATGTGCATGCCATGGTTGATGTAGCCTTTCCTTCTGTGCTAAGTAAGTACTAGCCTTTTTTTCCGAGTTAGGGGCATCTCCAACCTGACCCCTAAACCGGACACGTGTCCACGAAGAGCGACAAGAGCCGATAAAAGTCCATTTTACTACCCTGAATAAAGTGTGTGGTTCACTTTACCCCCTGATCAATATTTCTGCTCCCTTCACCCCCTGAACAAACCCATACCGGTTAAAAGAGACCCCTGGGTGGTTTCTCTCGACTTCCTGCTGACGTGGCACTAGTCAACGGTGATTTTGACCCATAATCGTCCAAAATGCCCCCTGGACATTTGCTCATGTGTCCCCGGACATTGTTCGGCCGACCACAGTGCCCTCAGATCCCACGAGCTCCCTCCTCCTCACGCCGGTGGCTCCCTGCCGCAGCCGGCGAGCGCCCGCATCAGCAGCAGCTCCAGTCGCGCCGCCACTCTTTCTCCCTGCCCTCTCTCTTCTTCTCTCTCTCTTTCCTTCCCTCGCGTCTCTCTCTCCTCTCTTCTCGCAGGAGCACCAGGAGCCGCCATGGAGCTCCGTCCGCCGCCGCCAGCGCCGATTCCGGTGAGAACCGGCCTTCCTCGCCCGGATCCGAATGCTCCCCATCTCCTCCTCGCCACCGGAAGCCGCGCCCGCCATCCTCCCCAAACCGCAGCGCCCGAGCTGCACTGCGCCGCCAGGAGGACGACGCTCGCTCCAGCGCCAAGTCCCGCTTCACCGCTCCTGCTCCAACCAGGAGCTCGCCGCCGGCCACCTCCGGGCCTCCTGCAGCACCTCGCCGCCGTCCAGCGACCCCACCATCGGCCTCCACCTCCGGTCTGTGCCCATAGCTGCTGCTCCGGTCAGCCGCGCCACCACAACCACCTACAACGCCGCCAGGAGACATTGATGGGTCACCTGACGAGTGGGCCCCACTGGTCAAATACCGCCGTTGACTACTGCCACATCAACAGCGGGTCGAGACAAACCAGTCAGGTGGTGTTTTGTCCGGTTTGGGTTTGTTTGGGGGCTAGGAGAAGCGGAAATATTGATCAGGGGGTAAAGTGAACCACCCACTTTATTCAGGGTAGTAAAATGGACTTTTTTCATAATTCAATCATGTCCATGTACATTTCAAACCGTATTTCAATAAATAGGATAAATCTCATGCAAACAGACCAAGGTTCACTCAAGTTTGGATATAATATACATAAAACGAACGATATTTCGCTTGTTCAACTAAATATACTATAAAAAATAGACTAACTTGTAGCGGACAATGACCTCACCAGATTAGGGCGCCGGGCCGCGGCAGGCCTGCCCGGTGTGACACTCCAAATTTTTTGTGGTTTTGTTTTCAGGAAGAGCCTTGCTTGGTTTGAAGAAGGTCATTTAAACCCTTCTTAAAAACCCTCTCCTAAGTTTGCCCTCTCAAAAATCTTTTCTTGGATTTAGTTTCTTCTAAAAAGAAAACCTTTTTGGTTTTGGGCTTTTATTTCTTTTGATCCATTCTTGTTTTACCATGCCTCTTATGGTAAAACTTCCCCAAAACCCCTCCTTCCACTTTGGAACAACCCAAACATTCTGTCCAAACTAATAAAATCCATTTTTGGATTTTATTCCATTTATTTCTTTTCCCAAAACAATTCTGTCTTTTATTTTGAACCTAGGTGATTTGCAAAGCAAGTACCTTAATGCCTTTGGTTTTTGGTCTCAACTCAACTCCCCTGGATGGTCCTTGGTACCCACAACCTAGAACCATCAAGATCTACTCTTCTTCTTTTCAAAATTTTCAAATTTCACCCTCTGCAAGTTTGGACCAGATTTGTCAAATTTGGTGAAATTCATATCTCCACTCCTCCAAATATTCCACCAAAATTCAAGCAACCTCTAGTTGCAATGAGAGACCACTCCACCAAAAACCAGCTCAAGGAAAAATCCCCACATGCCAAAATCATTCTGTCGAACACCTGGCATGCACTGTTACTGTTCATATTCAGAAAAATTCAGATTTCAGTGTCGTTTCTTCGTCAGAGTTTCAGTCACATGTAAACTGTGCACTTGGCACGTTGCTCACAGCCCCTCCTCCTTGTCCGGAGCTCCATACGCGCGCTTGGCTCGTTCCTGGCGTCGGTGGCGCCCTGGCCCGCCTACGCCGGCGTGTCTTGCGGCGGTAGAACCACCGTAACGGCCGACAGGGGGCAACCCTGCGGCATAACGCCGTTCGGCGCCGCCCAAACCTCCTGAGAGCTCCGCGTGGCCATCTCCTTGCCAGCGCATGCATGCAGCACCGTCGCCGTGGCTTGGCACGCGCAGAGCGCGTTCTCTGCCGCCGACGTGCCGTGCGGCCATTTCGTCGAGGACAGGCCGTAATCCTCCCTCCCTTGCTGAGTTGGACACTGGGATGGCACCAGTGCTTCATCTAGATGATGATCAAGCCCCTAAGCCGACCGTCCACCCACAGCACCGCCGTAATCGCTCGCCGGACTTATCCGTTCACGGCAACCGCCTTGGGCCGGCTATAAATAGCACCCCCCGAGCTTGCTCTCGCCCCCGCACAACTCCACCACCTCACCAGACCCCGCCTAGCCACTGGAAGAGCCTCGAGGGGCCCTTCCTCCTCAACTCCGGCCACCTCCGTCTGCCTCGGGCTCCGGCAACGTTCTCTTCGGTGAGAACTCCTCCGCCGCCCTACTCTTGCCAGTAGCCTCGTACCACCTCTAGGAGTCTAACCCCACTCCAATTTGATCCTAGCAGCTCTCTCCGACAAGGCCCACGACGACCCGAACCACCGTCCGCCGGAGAAAGGGCCGCCGTCGACACAGTGCTCGCCGGCGACCACCACCACCACCCAACGACGCGGAAAGGTGCACTGAACACGAAGGTAACCCCCGATCCCCCTGCCTCGCAGTGGATCGCCGCCGGCGACCACCGCAGCTCTCGGGCGCCGTCGAGCCCTGTTTCCCTCTTTTGAATATTCATACCTGACGGGTGGAGCCCGCCTGTCAGCCTCTCAGTTCTTTTCTTTTAAACGAACCGTTTTCTGGACTTTTCTGCTTAGGCCCTTGAGAGTTTTCTGTTTCATTACAGATGGGTCCTTGGACCAAAACTCTTATAACTTCTAAACAGAAAATGGTTTTTGATTGATTCTTTTTCTGTCATCTTTCTTTTTCTGTCTAGTTTTTTGTCGTATTTATTTGAAAAATATTTGGAACACTTTCCTGTACACTCACGGTATTTACGTTACGTGCATATTTTTTTTCTTATACCGTAGATACCGGAGGAGGTGACGGAGCTGCGAACTTCACCCAGTTAGGCTCCGACTACTCCGAACCAGGCAAGCATGTTTGAACTCTTGATATGATGAGTGTTTGTTGAACGTTTGCATTTTAGGAGTTTCATGGCATACTTATGAACATTTCTTTGAATGTTATACTTCATGCACAAAAGTGGAAAGTAAGTTTCGGAAAGTCATATGTTGTTGGATACATATTTGCATGGCCATGTGATGGCATGAGGATGGGTAAGATGGCAATGTTGTGGCATGCCAGTCTTATGCCAGTCTATTTGACTTCAGTGTCATCGTGAATCAAATCACATTCCCATTCATTTCCTTCCTGTACTGCCACATGTTTTCCGAAAGGAATATGGCTTAGTAAGTTGCAAATCGTTTTCCTGGTACACACCAAATAGAGAGGCCGGGATGAGGGTTCCATGGCCCTGGATTAAAGCCCGTCATCCGGTCAGGGGGCATGGCTGTTTCCGGTTGGGACCGAGAGAGGGGCACCCCTTAGAGCGCGCGTATAGAAATTTGATCCCATGCTATTTGAGGTTGTGACCTCCCCGTCTCAAAGTTTTTCTTGAACGTTGTCTAGGGTGATTCCTGGCATCGTGAGGTGGAATGGGTGTGTACTGGTTAAATGTGTTTCTACCGAAATACCATAAACGGAACTAGTCCTGCGTGACTACGGAAATCCGTTGGCTGTGGTCAGTTAGTACAAACTCTGCAGAGTCACAAATTTTCTAAATCATCTTGTACTTGTCCAAGTACTATATTCATCTTATCTTGTCAGATATCAGTCTCAGTGACAAAACTCCGGTGGAATACATGTGTGTGAAATCCGGTTAAAATTTTATTCTTGTGGATGGACTAATCTTGTTATTTACATTTGTTATAAGCCCTGTCTGTGATGTCACTCAGACGTCCGACGGTGGAATACTTGTTATTTACATTTGTTATAAGCCCTGTCTGTGATGTCGCTCAGACGTCCGACGGTGGCATACTTGTTATTT